AATGTTCTTGTCTACAGCCATTCCTGTCATCATCACAGCAATAATTCTGCAGACATTGACCAAAATGCTCTCAAACCAGCTAATGGATGTAGTGGCTTTGATAACATCAATTATCATGCACCAGATCCTGGGCTTTGCCAATGCTCCACCTTGCTGACTGTTTGCCCTTAGCAGAACAACACCTTATTAGGTGTAGTAGTATCTCACAATTAATGGTTTCATAATCTGGATCTGTCATGGTAAACAAGTAATTCCTGGTTAGAAACCACATGCAAAATGTAAGCATTAGGGCAATTGCTGCTGCTAGCTATTACTGTCTAATTAATCACCTACAATATACAGCATGCACCAAATGAATTAATTGTAATGATCTTTTGAAAAGGAAAACAGAAGTAGTCTATTATTTCTAAAAATGTGACTTGAATGTGGTAATTTACCACACAGCCACACTCCAGATGTAAGTGAGGCTGTATTTATTCCTTCTCTCGTGCATCTGCTCTAATTACCTTGTGGCAGTGGTATAAACATCAGTTGGAGTGACTCACTTCTTGAAAATTTATTTTGGTTCTTCTTATAATTTTGGCCAGTTTGACCTCACCAGTTTGAAAATTCAAGTTATAATCCTCTGTAGGGATTTAGCCAGGTGTCCATTACAGCATGTAATCTGTGATACAGCTTCCAGTATTCACGCTACAGAAGATTTAAGCACCTCTGTCTTTGTTCCTGAGTGAGAAAGTCCACGAGGTCTTAACTGGGACAGGGAGCACATTGCAAGAAGCAACATGTTCATTCAAACCCTGAGCCTGTGTGGGTGCCACTGAGGACCTGTACAGGTGAGACACCAGAGGCTTCACCTGAGCAGCAGCACTCAAACTTCAACCAGTGCTGCTGAACAGCAGCTGCAGCACTGCTGCTGGTCCCCTGGTTACATTCAGAGGTCACACTGCTGCTGGACATCTGTTTTTGACCTAAGTCCTCACCCCAGGGTCACTGTGCTGTTCCTGGAGAGACTTTTAGTAGGACTGACAGACTCTCAGCCCTGGCAGCCCCAGCCAGGGACACTTGCAGAGCACCTCCAACAGCACTATAAAAGTTCAAGGTGGCTGGCACAAAGAGACATTACTGTGTGCTAAAACAAACTAAATCCAGCTAGCTGAGGGGAAACCTACTGGGACCAGTTAGCCCTACTCAGGAGTTTCTCAGGTAACTTTGTTTTTTCCAGCCAGGGCTGAATGTGATCAAGTAATGTGATATGCCCCATGTCCTCACTGTGCCTGCAAATCAGGTACCTCCTCTTAAAGCCAACACTTAGACTATATCAGTAGTTTCAGTAATATTTTCAATTCTATGAGCAGCCAAAACCAAAGTGAATAGCAGCTTAATTTGCCTGCCTGCAAGGAGCTATCTAATATCAATCTCCCATTACTGTACAGGAAAATAGCGGGTTTCTTTGAGGTGGTCATGGTTGTGGTGTTGGGAAAGACTCAGCTACCTTTTATGCTAATTGGCACTAAAGTGTTTAGAAGTATTTATCAGTATTTAATTATTTAGAACTCTCCTAATGGCTTAAATATCATTTTGAAAAGTTATAAATATTTTCCACCTTACCCTACTGAAGAGATGCTTCTTGGAAGGCTTAAATGAAGATCTATTTATGGCTGCCTGCTAGGCACAAAATTACTTAGAGATGCTAATGATCTGGTCCTTCAGATGGCCCCAACACAGACTAAGCTTAGTTTTCACAAATTGGACAAAGTTTGTCTTTGTTGCATTCATTTTACTGAGACAAAAGTCTTAAAGAGGATTATCATAGAGATCAAGGCATTAAAATATGTAACTAATCCCAGTTAAATTAATTGTTTTCATAATAACATGTACTGAGGGACATTTGTGTAGAGTAAGACCCTTTTAGACTGTTTTGGTAATGTAAGTATGACTTACCATGCAAATTACATTTAAGATTAATTAGAAGCAGTTGAAAGCCAAGTTGCCAGCAGAGAAAATGGGAACCTGATTCCAAGCCTCTGAAGCAATAATTATATTAAATATTTCAAAATTACATCAGCAATTGCTATGTGAGTAGACAGAGGGGAATTTACATAAACTCATAATTTCTATCCTCCTGTTAGAATTCAGGACACTTATTTTATTGGCTTATAATCATCTTAGATTTTTTTTTCCTAATTTTCTTTTTCAAGCACTTGAACTCCCCACAAGTTATTTTGGTGTCATCAAATCATTCACCTCTTAAAAGAATTCTGTGCCATAAAACTAAAATAATAATTCCGTTTATTGGTGAGGATATACCTGAAGCTTTTATTAGGATTCTCATTTGCAGGACTCAGTATTTCAAGGGCAGGTTGTGGCACCGCTGTTACCACTGGTGCAGGACAGGATAGCACTGTGATTCTGACCTATTTCTCACAATCCTCTGCCATTAATTGGAATAGTCTCATCTTTCCCTAAAAAGCTCTGTGCACAGAGTTGTAGACTGCATTTCAGTTGCAAGCTAGGGCTACCAGCTCTCAATGTCATACTGTATTCACATTAGCTTGTGGGGTGTTTTTAGAGCCCCTCTCCCGGTTATTCTTTGATTGTGTTGGCACCTCAGCTTTTCCTAAAATGTAAAAGATAAAAGCCAAAGGGAGCAAAATAAATCAACAAATATAGGGAAAGAAACTACATCCCATACAGCCTGGGTTAGCTGCTGGAAGTCATAAAACATGCTTCCTCCAGCATCCAGGGACTAAGGGATCAGAGTGGCTTTAGTTTTTAGCACAAAGAGTCATAACAGACTCAGTGGTTGCTTCTGGAGCAGGAAAATAAAGCCATCCCTCAGCAGTGCTTAATGCACCTGTCTGGCTGCACAGGAGCATTTGTTTTTTGGGTTTTGATACCTGTGACTGCCCAGTGTAGTTGCTTTTGCCAAAGCAAACGCAGAAGCATAAAGCATATAGATTAGAGGTACACAGATCTAAGTGACCAGATTTTTCTGGGCAACCTCAGACAGGTGTGAGTTTTAAAATCTGAGAATCTTCTGATAAACTGATATTTACATATAGTCAAAGGATCCGGAACCTTACAGATTTCACAATATGTATATTTTCCCTGAGGGAAATAGGCTTGTGTAAGTTAGCACATTCTAGCATTTGTATCTGATATATTAAATGGAGCTTAAATATTTTAAAATTCTGTGTTTTCTCTCATCTGCTTGAAACTTACTTTTAATTTTCACTGTTTTATTCAAAAGGAAGGCATAGAAATAGCAATCATGAGCTTGAAATCAGAGCTGTAACAGATTACAGAAAAAATTTTTCAGAGTATTTCCTGTTACAGCTGGTTTTCAAATAACTCTTTCTGTTGTGCAGTTTTTTTCCTAACTTCCAGTCCCAGTGAATCGTTGTCCGTTTTAGCACTCAGCTGTATTAACAAGAAAGACAGAGAAAGAAAATAGCATTTTCCAGCCCAGGTAAGAGGAAGTTGCCAGTGGGGAGGTCAAAGTGAGTGCAGAAGTTCTTTTGCTTGTGTTTCCTGGGAGTATATCAAGGAGCAGAGCAGTGGCCAAGGTGGAAACTCATGTTTGAAACCTGTTTTCCACACTGGATAGCACTGAGTCACTTTATTGCCCTCAGGCTTTGAGATGGAGAGAAGTATAACTGCAATTATAAGAAAAGAAAAGGTTGATCATCATGCCAGGGCTTGTTCTCTTTTCAGGGCAGGTGCAGGGAACTCTGAATAATGACAATAACAGCTACATTAATGACCTCATTGAGCTCTGCTAGGTATAGGTATGTGCATATTTTTCCCCAGCAGTGCTGACTATCAGTGAATAGAGACTTCCACAATCTGAGTGTCAGGGGGAGGGAAGGATACAGAGCAGCAGTTGCTTTCTGGAGCAAACACAGAATGAACAAGTAGCAAAATACTAACGTACTGTTGAAAGCTGAAATTAGATATACGTGATTCAGTGCAGCCTACAGGGTCTGATATCTTGGCAACTGCTGCAAGATATCCCCAATCTGCAGACAAAATAGCCTTTGTGAAGAAGCAGAAGATTGTAGTGTGAAAGTTAATGCATCAAAAGGCCAGAAAGAGACTAATTCACTTTCACCTTGCTTCAGAGGACAAGCAGCAGTAAAAGCTGTGCACTATTGGCAAGTTTTCTTTGTTGCTGTTTTTAACTCAACCCTCAGTTCAAAGCTCCAGCCACCTCGGCACTGCTCCAGCTGGAGCCACTGACATCTCCCACCTAATCAAGTGCTGGATTATCTTGTCCTGATAAATTGAACCTGGTGCCTCATGAAAAGTCTTTTCTGAAGTACTTTGGTACCCCGTAATAAGATGGCAGATACCTGAATCAAGTCCCAGAGCTGACAGAGCACTGTTTTTCTAATGGCTTTTGGTTGCAAGTGTAAATGTTTGAAGGCAAGGCAGTGTTGAGCTGGGAGCACAAGTTAAGCAAGATACATTTCCCACCTGGGTGAAAGGAAACTTGAAAGTGTACTGAATACTGGCTCATACTGAGTACACACAGGTTGCACTGCTAACAAAATGCACTTGCCCTAAGAATTAGTGCTTTTTTGGACAGAGCTCTGAGGAACATGCTTGTTTCAAAAAGATATTCTCTTTGGCTTCTGCATCTTTCTAAGAAGAGTTGGAGTTATTGAGCTATTAAAGACTTGCATACTGTTCCTATTCTTCTGTGACTCAATCCGTGGTCCAAGTTGTTCAGGGTAAATTAGCTTGTTTCTTTCTTCAATGTATATTAAGAAAAATGTCTACAGTGTAGACACAAGGATGCCCTCTATGTTGTGTTTGTACTTCAACTGGTAAAACAGCCAGGATGAATCTCATTAAGATAAAGTTATTACTTGCAAGCATTTGTTTTTTTTCTTTCTTGGCTTCCCTCCTGGAGAAAAGCAGTCCTCAGTCAAGAAACATCTTGTGTATCACACTCACCTCTGTGGTGCCCCTTGTAACACTGCTTTGCTCTTTTCCAGGGGAATCCCTACATGTGCAATAATGAATGTGATGCAAGTACCCAAGAACTGGCTCATCCTCCAGAACTGATGTTCGATCTGGAAGGAAGACATCCCTCTACATTTTGGCAGTCCACAACTTGGAAGGACTATCCGAAGCCTCTTCATGTTAATATTACACTCTCCTGGAACAAAACCATTGAGCTTACAGATAACATAGTTATCACCTTTGAATCTGGCCGTCCAGACCAAATGATCCTGGAGAAATCACTCGACTATGGACGAACGTGGCAGCCCTACCAATATTATGCCACTGACTGCTTAGATGCTTTCCACATGGATCCAAAATCAGTGAGGGATTTATCACAGCACACAGTCCTAGAAATCATTTGCACAGAGGAATATTCTACCGGGTACATGACAAATAGTAAAATAATCCACTTCGAAATTAAAGATAGATTTGCTTTTTTTGCTGGACCTCGGCTTCATAACATGGCTTCTCTTTATGGCCAGCTTGACACCACCAAGAAGTTAAGAGATTTCTTTACCATCACAGATCTGAGGATAAGACTGCTCAGGCCAGCAACTGGTGAAATATATGTAGATGAGCAACACCTGGCACGCTACTTTTATGCAATTTCAGACATAAGGGTATTCGGAAGGTAAGAGAATATATAACTTTAGAAACAGGTGCCTGTGTTTGATTTGAGAAAGTATTCAAAACTGTTCATTTCCCCAAAGAAGATGATATTTTCTGCCAATGGTCATTGGAAATCTGGCTCAGCTGAAGGCCACTGCTGTCATACCAGAAGTTTCTGACTCTGTGGCACAAGGTCTGGGTGTTTGCTGGCACCTTGGATCTTGAGCCCTGGGTTTCACAGGTAGGATGGTTCATGTGTGGGCTCAGGAATTCACCCTTGCAGTAGGTCAGTTTCTTCTCTCAGGTAGTTGGAGTCTGATCCAGTGGCAGTTAACTAAAAACAGAGATTCTGTTTTATCATTTGACCTTTCCAGGCCTCTCATGTGAGCTGTGACTGATACAGCAGCTCTTGCACAAACCTCTCCCACTAGGTCTGGCTATGAACAAGGAAAGCAGTGCAGATTAGAGCCCATTCCTTCTACTTTAATTAGCTCTGAAATGCAGAGAAGCTGAATAAAAATGGAAAAAACCCAACAGTCTTTTAGATAGACTGATTTGAGTATAACAAAGATGATTATTCAGCTGGGTTCAAGAGAAATGGTTCCCTTTAGGGCAAGTGGTGGCTGGTATCAAGTGCTGTAGTCCCCAAAATAATAACTGTAGTGACATTCCTATCAGGAAATTTTGTTCCCAACTCAAACTAGCAATTGACTGATGCCCTCAAGCAGGAGGATGATCCTTTTTTATGGGTCTTGGATTCCAAGTTGTTCAAAAGAAATAAGTGGGATCACCTCTATTAGCAATTCACTTACCAGTCCAATATACCTTTTGTTCCTTCTCTGTTTCTCCTGTACAGGGCTTAAGACTTCCTTTTTTAAAAAAACTTTTTTTCTTTTTCTCTAAGAGAATCTAAGTATCAAAACAGACAGAAAAGCTAATCTATCTTGGAAGGCCAGGGACTTTCTTTGCACACTCAAAACTGAGTGAAAAAAATAGAAATAGTGATTATATAAAACAGTGCTGACTATATTTTTTATTATTCCTATGGTGATGATCAAAATCATCAAAATACATTTATTAGGACTGCAGATCTAACATGCAGTTAACATGCACTCTTCTGTGTCCACACCAACTATATATCCATACATACAGAATTACTAGTCCACATTTGAAAATCTAAAATAAATGAATGAATTCAAGAATTCTACTTGCAATTCTCGTTAGTTACATTGTAAATTATTTTTCAGAAGTCTCTTGGGAGGGCTAAGTGGATCATGAACAGATTAAGATACTGTTTGAAATAGTTTGGTAAAATTAGCCTCAATATAAAATGTAACACCTATTTAATGTGTATATTTTCTCCACTAGGCTCCCTCCACATAGGTTAGCTCTACTGAGGCATCATATCAAAGCTCAGGATTTGTAGGTCCTTAGGCTTTAAGGAAAGCCTGCTCCCCATCTGAAAACCCATTTGGAGCTTAGTCTGACTTCAGTTAGATTATCATTACTTTATCAAAGAAAGCATCTGAAGGATTAAAAAAGAGTGCATTGCATGCAAATTAGAAACAGAAACCTTCTGAGCACATCTGGGGCTCACCAATCTTGTGAAAAATTATCTGTAGAAATGAAGCGTGACCGTACAGAGAATTTATCTGATGCTGATGCTTGTTGTCTAAATGCTGCAGTAATTGGACATGTGCTTTAAAGGAAGTATCTGATGTGTAATGTACCTCACTAGATTCGATTCATGTGAATTCTTATCACTTTTCTGCTAATGAGAAGAACAGCTCTTTTGGGATTTGGTGCTATTTCCTTAAATATCTAGTGAGCCTTCCTTGTTAAAGTCTTTAGGGCTTGCTTGCTGCTGAGCAGCTGTGGGGCTGCAATACACAGCCCCTGGTTGTTTAGTTGCACCAGTTGTAACTTGCAATGAGCCCACTGTTGTCTAGTTTTAGGTATTTTTTTGTCTCTTCCAGAAACTTTATGGCCTCTCCCCACTAGGGTCTTCCAGTCAACATTCCCAGCATGTGCCCTGGCATGCCCCAAGCATGGGAACCAGTGGAGGGAAGCAATGGTTACAGGGTAGTTGTGCCACTGTTTCCAGTTCAGCTGAGCTTTCCAGCTCTTGCTCCTTAATTTATAATGTTAACTGGAAATTGTTACAAAATTATTTTGTTTTGCTACCAAGATTCATATTCTGGGCTTTGAGACCCAGCTATTCATATAAATTGGTAAGACTAGACTAGATTATTCCATGAAGACAGGATACAAAGGGAAGTTACCAAGGAGCTTATCGTATAGTAGACGAGGGATGCTGGCAGCCACTTTAAAGCTAGTCCTTTTTCTAAAAAACGTAACCTGTAGGTCAAGATAGTTAAAATCACCAAAGCTCATAATAGCATATTTCTAACGGCAGCATAAAATGTAATTTGTTTCACACTGTGTTTTAAGCATCAATGACAGTGAAAAGCATCTATCTTAAAGCCACTATGTTAAATATACAGGACTATGTGGTAGTTAATAGTTCACAATGAATTATAGGCAGGAGATTTGCCCACTTAATATAGGTTTGTTTTGTCATTGCTTTGCATTTTAGTGTGAAATAAGCCTGATGTATGTTGCATTAGAAATGAAAATCTGTGTAGTCTAAATGAATGCCTTTCCTCCTCTATTACCACCTGTTTATTCTTCTTCAATTTACCACTTCCATTGTGTATTTATTAAGGTGATGAAAAAAGGAAACGTGGCTGTTAGCAATTTCAGCAACCCCATTGTGCTCCCATTATTCAAGAAACCTAATAATCCACAAGAACTAATTCTGACTTACTGATGGTCCGCTTCACTAAATCAGGGTGATTTTTTTCTACTGAATAATGGACGATGCAGTATGCCAGTACCTTAATTAAAGAGAGCCTCTCTTATTCTTGATCTTATTTTAATTTACAGGGTAATACTACAATAATATCACTAATGGAAGGTACATTAAAGGGCATAAAGTAGCATTAACTGTATTAAATTATGGCACTTGTGTTAATTAACTGCTGAAGCAAGATGGTCCTAACAGCTAGAAAGGTCAACTAATGCATAAATAAAGTCTTCTGGGATGGGAAGCTAAGAAAGAGCAGACATTTTCCCCTCATCTGGCCTTGCTGCAGAGGATCAGAGGGTGTCCTGTGCTGCACCCTCAGAGAGGTTTCTTTCACTGTGCTGCCTGCAGAGGTGTCCTGACCTGTCTGCAGGCTCTACCTGTCTTCAATTCCACATGAAGGACAGTCCTGGCAGTAAGCAGTGAGGTACAGCTCCCAGTTTTAAACCTATTTTTGTAGAAGTTCACTAAAATGCTGATAATAATTCCTTTGAAGTCAAGCTCAAGGTTCCTAGCAGATTTTGGATCAGACTGCTGAAGGTTTAACCATGTTAATTTTAAAGTATTTTTGCTCTGTTATATTGTCAGTGACACATACATTTATACACTGTAAATTAACTGTAATTCGGGATGCTTGTAGAAACCATGGTCCCAGTGGGTAACAGAATGACTGGCTGGGTAAAACAAAGGCTCTTATTGCTTTTGAATGATTAGGTTTTGATCTAAGAGGCACCAGTTTCTTTCTGACACCAGAATATCCAGTCTCTGCACAATGTTATTAAACCCTGTGGAATTTATTTTTATACTCCTCTCGCCTTGAAGCTTCTGTATTTAAGCCCCAGGGTTTTCTGACCGCGTCTCAGCTGCGGCTGCAGTCCCAGCTGCAATAGAAACCTCTAACTCACAATACACAAATGAAAAGTAACCTTGGTTTTAACAGTTCCTTGCTCTCACATTATCTATTCCGAATTCAAATCCATCTCAGCATCTGAATAAATTAATCTGAAGGAAAATATATTTGCTGCTTAGGGGGTTGGGGCTTTTTTAGCTCCTTGGTCAGCCCGCCACTCCTGCTATCTGTGAGGCTGAACTGCTCCTGAGGCTGTGCTGGATTTGGGGTTGGTGAGGGCCCCTGCCCTGAGTGGGAGCTCATCCTGCAGCTTCGGGCAGGAGGTTCCAGCAGGCAGGCTGGGCTGTACTGGGTCCCATCCTCTGGCTTATTCTGCAGGTGCAGTCTGTGGGTGGATTAATTGGAGTAAATCTCTATGTTACTCTGTCATACCACTTGTCAACACTATATGATAATGTCCCTCTGTAATTTACCCAAAAGCAGAACTTTGCCCTAGGGAAGTTATAATATACAGAAATGCTGTTGTTTCATTAATAATAAAAAATGTTTTAATTGATGTTCAGCTTAGAACCAGACCATCAATATTAAGATATGTAGGCTTCAAGCTTTTAAGTAGACAACCATTGAATACCAACTGAATACCATTCTTGACTCTAGTATTTATTTACCAAACTTGAATACTCTTTGTTTTACAGGAACACTTGCATAAGCAGCTTTTCTCCTTTGAGATTTTCACTAGTATTTGAAGGGAATCTAGCAATTTCTCTGATTAAATTATAATCTCATTAGAGAACAGGAAAAAAAAAAGAAACATGTATTTAAGAGCATGTCAATTGATCTGTAAGTCCCAAGTGCAATTTTTGCTTTTTTAATATATCTACTGTAATATGTCACTAAGGAAAATGGTCCTTCATTTTCTGTAAGCAAATCTAGGATCATCAGAAACTGAAATAATTAAATGGTCATGGTGTTTATTCACACATGAGCAGGGGTTTACTCAGTACAGGTGTCCTGGGTGGGTTTTACTCCTGCCTGTGTTCAGACAAGAGTGATTTCTACCCTCCATCCTGATGGCACAAGTCCTGTCCATCAGCTCAGTGTGGCCTCAGTCACAGTGGCTGGGAGGGGAGCAGAGCAGTGGAGTCTGAATGCTGTCTAGGACCCTCATCCTGTTACGTGCTTTTGAAATCAATCAGTGGGTTTAAATCACCAGGTTTCACTCACCACCTTTGCTCATTAGCATCTGGTCATCTTTTCTTTTTTGCAAGACATCAAGCATTTCCCTACTGATCTCTCCCACCTGTCT